TTTTTTTTTTTTTTTCCCAAGTCTATGCCCCATCTTATTTGGAAGGAGGGTGGCTAGTGGTGGGGTGCATGTTAATGGCTGTCTGGCATACAGCTGCCTGCTGGGTTAAACCATAACATRGCCCATAGATCTCATGGGTCTAGCAGTATTTCTGCAAGACATTTGCCACATCCCATTAAGATTCTAAAGTTTAGAAAATCCCTATCCTGAAAATCCACTATTTGCTGAGGAAGTATCATATACTGAAAATATGAATTAACTCTGAGCACATCATCTTTAATGGCAACACTTCAAAACGACCCCATGCAGCCCTTCAAGTTCTTTTCTCTTATGTGTCCAGGTCTGAAAGCTAGAAAGGCTCAGGGCTTCTTTTAGAAGACCTGTACAAATGATCCAGTTTTTGACTGTCATTAAATGTTTTGGCAGAATAATGTTATATGAAATCTGTAATACACTTGCTAATGTTTATAATCCAATGATTACTTATAAGAAGTATTATTGCATTTTAAGCGTAAAAATATAAGAGGTTCTATAAAGAAAATTAAAATAGCATTAATCTAATATTGATAGTCATATAAAATAACTCACAATTATGTAAGTTTCCATATATAATTACACATTTAAAAATAAGTTATAAAAATAATTAAGCTTCTTTAAAACCCCTAGGCTATTTTCTTTTAGGAGTTTTTACTCATATCYACTGATTGTCTAACATCAGCCACAGCTTCTGGTACTCGAACAGTCATATCATTCATTGATTTCTTCAAGCAGATTTGGCAGCCTAAACGTGATCTGTGGGGAAACAGGACATTGTTGTTAGTTACAGCCCACTAGCAATCCAACAGCAATTACCCCCTTAYGCCTCCAACACTCAGCCATCCCAAACACACCATGAACTAGGAACAGCCACTCTTGTGCAGGACCTTAATGAAGTGCAGGAGTGAACCACATGCATCAACAAGGATTTGTGTGGCAATAGTTGGGACAGCCAGAACAGAGGTCAGCACGTCGGAAAGTCCCACACTGAGTACTTCCCGCTCACAATGCAGAATATGGGTGACCCTTCCCTTTTCAGTGGGTCACTAACAGGTCAGTCCAGTGCACGGAGGGATGCTTGATCTCCCAAGGGACATCTGGCATCTCTGAAGAGATAAAGGCAATGAATCTGAATGAAAGCCTCAGAAAAAGCAAAGCCTAACTCCCCCATCCAGAGTTCAATGTTCTCAAACTAAAAAAAAAAAAACGAGATTGGGTTTAAGCCAGAAAAGTAAGAGTGAAAAGATAAAAGAAACATAGGAAGAAGAAGGAGAAAACACTCAAGACACCGGGAGGAGATACCATCCTTCATTTTTATACCTATCGTTCAGCTTGAAAGAATCAGATGCTGCACACAAGCAATTAAAATCAGAAGATTTAATACCACAAAAGAAAACTGCAAACATCACAAGCTGCTTTTATTGCTGAGATAGGTATTGAATTAAAGTTATCTCAGTATTTAAGTATAGAATACTRCAGACATCAGCAAGGATGGGCAATGTTCTGTAAAACCAGTCCCTGACAAGACGCTAGCTAGCTGACAGCYTGTTTCAAGAATATAAAGTCCCCACTCTTCTGTCTACCTCTCCATATGTACTTATCCGCATTTACCTCTTAATTCCAAATGTCAAAAGCACAAAATTCTAATGCATGTTTTCATWGCCAGGTGATGGTATTACCACAGCACTGTAAACAAACCTTACTCCTCACTGTGTTTTCCCAAGTTTCACAAGGATCCTCACACTAATTAAAACCTAGCACCGATCACTTTTACATCGTGCTGTTGATCACATACTCTTACCAGGCAGCCCAGTACTTCCATCTTGTTAAAAGATGCTTTTTTCTTTTAACCAATTACTTATCCTTTACAGGGCATTTGCTCTTATCCTGTTGCAATTCAAAATTTAGTAAAGGATTTCTAGACCTAAGTAAACTGCATGAACTGCAAGATCTTTCTTCATCTCAGGGACTTATATGAAGAATTCCCATATCTGCTTCACCCCTCTACATAAGCTCTGTTGAATTCTTTCCTTTCCATAGCAGGTAGTATAGAAAAGCAACAGCTTGCAGACTCATAACTGAAGTTATGAGTCCAGTATGGATTCAGAGTATTCTTCAGTTTCGAACCTCATTTTAAAATGTTGAATGTAATTCTAAAAGTTGGGTTGTCACCTTCTGATTCCTTTGGTGTGGAAGCAGTTTCAAATCTACAAATTAAGCCTTCCAGTCAGCAGCTCAAAAATGCCATATTGAATTCCTGTAGAGCTCCTGGRTGAATGCTGCCAAGCCATTACTCTTTGTTACCACTCAGTTTACTTATCTGTAGGAATACTACTTCTATGGATAGATCAAGTTGAAAGAAGATCACAGAATATGCCAGGACACTCACTGCAAAGAAACCTTCCAGTACACGAACAGCTGAAAAATCTGTAGAGATAACAGGATGCAAAGGAAGCTTTACTTTTACCTTATCTTTTTCTATTTTACATGCACCTTCTACAGCACCCATTGGCTCTGTATGTAGACAAAGTTTACTGTTTCTGATAGGTTAGAAACAAAAATATTTGTGTACTCTTTGCAAGCTGTTTATCAGCTTATTTTTTGCTTCAGTATTCTTACTTTAACTTGCCAGGATTCGCACTCCCCATCTTATTACTTTTAATAATCTCTACTGTTCTGCAACTAATCAAAACTATTTCATTTTAACCTTCCTAWTTAACCCTTCCTTTTAAAAAACATGAGCTTTCGTGGCACTTGCTGGCTGAAACTTTCCCAAATATAGAGTCATTGACAAGATGAAGCTGGTATGCTTATGCTGATGACAGAACATAGAAGTGCATCTCCATGGCACAAATTTCTATCAGCACAGAAGTCTGGGTAACCTGCAGCAAATACCAGCCACTCAGAGCTCTGCCTTTCATAAGGGTCATCCTCTCACATATGGAAGGTCCCTGGCCATTTGAAGAACGTATGATGCTAGAAAAACCTAACAGAGTACTAAACATCTTCCCAGGGTCTAAAACTTAATTTGGTGTGAAGAACTTAGAAAACAGAAACATTTAAGCAGATAACTCTGGCTTGCTACTGTTTTCAGAAAAATCTCCTTGCTTTAAACCTTTCATTAAAAGGTAGCCAAAGAAAAAGGGTTTTTATTAGACTTTATGCCTCCAGAACTATTTAGGAATAATTTTGGCGCTAAAAGTAACCAAAAAGTAACAGTTTATGAKGGTAAGTGGCAGGCTGATACTTTTCTTCAAAATTGAATGGCTTTCTGTGAGACAGGAAAAATGGACAAAACAAAAGAAACTACAAYACATTTCTCACAGCTTGACTTCCTTGCCTTTACAACCTCCCAYATATGTTCAGATCTGGCTGAAGTGAGAGTGTATTGTCATCATGTAGAAATGATGGATTCCCTTCACTGATATAAGGAGACAGACAAGTTAATTCAGAGTTCTTCTTTGCAGAGACATAAAAAAATCCATGCTATACAGACCAGTTATAAAGTCTCTGACATCACTGGAAAGATTCTCAAGAACTTCAACAAGCAGTTCCATTGAAACATGGAGGAAAGGCCTCATGAAATCTTGTAAGGAACAGCTGCCAACTGTTTACAGGGGAATGTTCTGTGATAAAGTGCTTGTGCACCAACAAGTACAACAGCCCAGCAGGAATGGATCAGTGATGAAGATGTGACACCCTAATTACAAGACATGTGATGGTCGGGGAGATGCAGAAAGAGGTTTACTGTAAAGTACCACGAATCCCAATCCCAGTACTTTAGAGTATCACTAGTCTAATCCCAATGCCTATCTGCAGTCAGAGCACATTTCAGGATCAGTTTCTCCCAAAAGGGAATCTGGTTTCTGTGCACAAAGAGTACTCTGATATGAGTCAAAGCATGAAAAGTTAAGTAACTGACATCTCTACACTGTCCTAGAGAAGGCTTGGAGGAAGGATCTTAGCAATGTACATAAATACCAGAAAGGTGGGAGAAGGTGGAGTCTCCATCCTTGGAGATAGTCAAAAGCTGTCTGGACATGGTGCTGGGCATCAGATCTAGGTGGTCCTGCGTGAGCAGGGGGGTTGGACCAGTTGACCTCAAGAGGTCTTCTCCAACCTCAACCCTTCTGTGATTCTGTGAAAAGAAGATCTGACCAAAACCTAAAATACTAACGTAAACACATTCATAAAACACATTAACTAGCTACACACTAACAAGGGACAGAAAACAGAAGGGAAGAGAAAGAAGAACAAGAAAATTCACACACGTGACAGCAGTGCAGACCTTTTGTGGAAAGAACTGGGCTTCCAGTTATGCTTTAGTTCCCACATTTCTGCACCAGAGCCCCCTGAAGACCAAGTTCTGGCAACTGACATTTTTCAGTTACAAAAACAATTCTGACATCTTTTTAATACAAATTCAGAGGAACAACATTTAAACTTGGCAGTCCCATTTGTGTAACAGAATGCAGCTATTCATTAAAAGCCAATTAAGGTGCTCCCAAGAATACYGGACTGCCCCATCCACAAACCCTTCTTTCCATTCTTCAGGGAAGTAGGGAAGTGTTATGTTGCCTTACGTTTCTGTGAGGCCATATGCCAGGTCCAGCATGTCCATCTCTTCATCAGTAATTGCATCTAGTTTCTCAAATATGTGGTCTTCAAATATTAAATGACAAGTTGAACAGGCTAGTGTTCCTTCACATGCACCTACAGAAAAAGTAAATCAAGATAATAGGAAATCCAAGTTTTAAATTGCAGCTGAATTTCAAAAGAAATCCTACATGTGCTGGTCTCATAGATGAAGTCTCTGCTGATTAGCAAAATTAATGTCCCATATATTCCCACATTCACGTACCTACTCTGYATTCAACTGTCAATAGTATTTCTACAGTTGCTATAGCATTAAGACTGACTTAAATGCTAAGCAATTAGTTAAAATACTTAACTAATTCCCTTTCCAGCATTTAAAGAAAGAAAAGCTTTCTACTACAAGAATGCAAAAGGAGACAATGCTGTCAATCAACACTATTTCATTTATTTCCCATGCTGATCCTTATCTCTCTCTTTCTCACAGTTTTGAGGTTTCCTCAAGGTCAACAGCAGACACCTGCTACACAAAAAAAAATCCTTAGAAGAACTGTGAGGAGGGATTTTATACTTATTTCTTCTCATTCAACAGAAGCCTAATTCACAGCAACAAAAGTAGTCAGGCTAGAAAGAGATAGCCTACACATATTACAAGGTGCTCCAGTAYAAGTCAAGGACCTCACAAGTTGCTGGGGTTGAGCAGCACAAGCACCAATTATATCTACCTCTACAGCAAYTAAGTCATCACAGCACAGCAAAAATTTGAACACTAACAAATTTGTCACTGTATTGCGCTGGCACCAAATTCCCCACATGGTTGAAGAAGAAATATGCAACTTCAAGAAGRAGGGAGAAAAGCTAAATAGTGTGAAGATTACGAACCCAGGCTCTGATTTAAATTGGTTAGGAAAGACACAGATAGCACATATTCACTTCTTTCCAGGGAGAGCACAACCAAGCACACTGTGACCACATCACCTTTGTACTCATAYGGAAATAAGGGAAGCAAGGTTGCATGTATAACCACTGCTACAAAAAGAAATAGTGRAATTCATCATCAGACTATGAGAACCACATAGAAAGCACCATGCTGCTACTGCATCAAAAGCATATATACAAAGTGAGCATGACACTGTACTAGAACATTTGATTTTTAAATTTTATCATGCCCTCAAATACACATGAAAAATCAGATTTTAATTAAAGTGCCAAACAGAAAACCTGTCTTATCAGCAGTTTAAGCATCCTCAATGTTGGGGAATTGAGGGAAGGAGTGAAAGAGGAAGGAAAAAATACTGAATAGTCTCTTTGAGCAGTCTTTCCACAACTGTAAAACTGGCAGTAACAAACAAACAAATTGAGAGCAGCTAAATAATGCAAAATACCTGTAACCCTTTATGAAGATATTTCWGTTATTATTAATGCACACAGGATGCCCCCTAGTGATAGAAAAAAAGGCAAGATTTACATTTTACTTTTCCCTCATTACTTYTTTCCTAAACACAGAACATACGTTTTTATTATATTATTTCTCTGTCCTAGTGTGATGTTTCATTAGCAAGTGGTTATTGAATCAGGACTAGCACTTGTTATAAGTACAGACTGTTACAGTATTCCAGGTTTTCAGTTTGGCTTCTTTTTATTGACAGCATTATTCTTGCCCATTYTACCACAATGTTTTAATACAGCTATTATTGACACAGAGAACATTTTGTTGATATTGACACAGAGAACATGTACTGTAGAATACAAGCAGACCAGCCATAAGCCTAAATGGGTCATTTAATAAGTGATGCAGAAAGCTAGCTGCATCACAAATTTTTAAGAGACAGTTTTTCTTCCTCGGATGTATGCAACTCTAGACATAAGAGTCGTCTCAGATATTAAGTATGAGATTTAAAATATTATCAAAGATTTTATTACTAGCAGTAACATTTATCTGCACCTAACTAAAACACACATCAAATTTCAAACTGTGCTACAATGCTCCACTTTCTTTTCACCAATTGCTTCATATTATGCATTTAGTCCTGAAAATTGTACTACCACTTCCTGCTTTACTTCTATTAATTTTTCAGCTCATGTTCATATAATACCTTCCCAAGGTAATTAATTGCCATTACCTAATATCTTTGAGCAATGTGGTCTAGTGATTGAGCAGTGTGGGCTAGTGGAAGATGCCCATGGCAGGGAGGTTTAGAAATAAACGATCTTCAAGGTTCCTTCCAACCCAAACCATTCTAGGATTTTAACTGTGGAAAGTGCAGAAGTTTGAAGAAATAGGGAGAAGCTCTAACTTCTCCGATTTTGATTTTAAACAGAACTCGTACCAAATTAGAATTTCACAAGGGCATTTACCCCACTTCTTTAATGAGAATTAAACTTCTTGCTCTTCCCTGTTAACTAACAGATTTGGTTGGTTTTTTTCACTTTCTTTCACTCCTCTACTACAGATATGGTGCTATAAAAAGCCTGATAATAAATTGAGACAGTATTGCTCTATAGAAGCAAYCAGACACTGTTACAAATACACCAGTTTTGTGCTGCCTCCAGAACAGAACCTTTCCAATCAGAAGAGATCTGCAGGTGGCAGGTTTCTAGACCCCACTTAGACAGCACGCTGTCCACATTCCCTTCTTCAATACTCAAGCCAAGATCATYCCAAGTATTTTTTTTTTAAATTTGAACCAAAATTTTCTATGCACCTGCAGGAGGAAAAAAAGGGAGGAAATCCAAATGAAGTACAGCTAAATTTTATATATACATATTCATTTACAGTTGGATTCMATGATCTTAAGGGTCTTTTCCAATCTAAATGACACTATAAATACTTATGCATGAAGAGGAACACAATTTCTAGACACTGAATGAAGTATTCAGTGAATCTACTTACCAAAACCATCTATGTCTAGATTATTGTCGACAACAACGTCCAGCAGTGAATCCCCAGGTTTTCCCTTGGCTGTTAGTTTGTCACCATCGCGGTTTATGAAATGAACTGTTATTTTATCTTCTGAGCTGAAAAAGAAAATTACATAATAGAATTAAAGAGTTCTAGAATTTTGTGGTGCTTTAGAATTCATTGAAAATTACCAAATTAATAATCACTATCAACTCTAAGAACAGAAAAACCGATGTTATTGGCTTTTAAAAGCTGTAACAGGTACAGGCATTTACTGCTGTACATTGAAAAAAAGACTGTGAAAGATTTTTTAGAAAACACCCTTGATGTATGTTTTGTCACTGCAGGCTATATTTTGCCTCTCACCAAAGAGAGTCAGTTTATTTCAGACACAATGTTTGCACTTTTAACAAATAAAAGAGCTTATTTTACAAGTTTCTCTCCCCACCTTTCTGTGAACTCTTGCTTTGGATTAATGTATTTTTCATTGTTCTCATCATTATAATTTAGGATAAATTCTAAACTTTCAAATTTTTACTTAGAATTTTAGATATTTTACTWTATTAGTTCCAAAATTTAATTCTTCTCCCAAAAATGGAAATATTACAAAAGCATTCTGCTGTTTTTAGACACAGATTATTTTAGGAATTCACCCTGTAAATATTAGTTCTAGTGAAATTCAATGTTTTTATATTGGTTTCAAAGAAAGAGGGCTTTGTATTTCTTTGCTTTACTTTTCAGATAATTGTTTATTTAAAAAAAAATCTTGCAGTCTGTATAAAAGCATCTTGAAACTAAAGCTTTTAACATGACAAAAAATTGATCCTTTTTCTTTCCATATTATTTATTTTACACCCAAATTAAAGGAAATATTTAAAGATGCTAGTAAAATACAGTATGTTTGATTTTAAACAGACTATTTTCTTTCCTASAGTAAGTGAACAAAACAAAAACTTATTGGATGGCAGTGAAGAAAACTGCCAAGAGATGACAGACAAATAGAATAACCAAAAAGCTAATGCGAAAAAATTACATTTCCCTGTGAAATCCATATGTAAGAACTGCTTGCTTCACATTACCTGTACTGTTCAAAACTGTAGGCCTTGAGTGATCTATATCACATAAAAAATATGAAAGCTTGAAAATCAAGTCACCCCCTGGAAAACTCTAAACTATAAATGTGAATATTAGAGCAAAACTTTGAAAGTGGCCATGCTGAAACATCAGTGAACAAATTATTTTTGTAACTGTCTGTAAAAGAATGTATTTTTAGCAATTTGAGTCCTGGCTTGTTATGAAACAATAACAAATGTTGTATGCTTGTTGTTGTACACTTTATATACTTGCATAACTCTTAAGTTCCATTGGCAGCAGCATGCTTCATGATGATTCATTATGGTGTCATGTTCAATTCTTTTCCTATCATCTYTCAGTCCACTCTCCAGAAATCAGCCACAAGCTACTATTAACTATTAGCTACTATTCATTTCAAAACTATAATTGATAATGGAGGGCTGACCTTGCTGACCTGCACAATGCAACTGAAGCCTGTACTATAACAAAATTCAGAAATCTTAAAGAAGTATCTTTACAAAATGTAATTAATGTAGTACAGTCACCTGTGGTACCCGAGGACAGTCAGCAAACCATTCTGTGGGGGTTTAAGAAGCCACTCTGCTTTTCATTTTTCTCCTCTGCTATGTAAACACCTCCCACAGCAGAACCAAGGAAACAAACACCCACTTAGACAAACTAGTACAAAATTCACCATCTTCTTTCGGAGTTTAAGACTGACAGGTTTAGACTGCATCTGGAAACGTACAGATCCACATTCTGAGAGCCTAAGTAAACCTCTGATAGTGTAATTTTAAACTGCTTCAAAAAGCCCTTCCAGAGCTCAAAGTACACTCTCCTTTGCTGAAATATTTATCTCAACATGTCACACGCAACCCTGACAGAAGACACAGTGCAACATGTACTTGCATTTCTGGGTATGCTCTGCCCAAGGTATAGACACAGCACATAYTAATTATTTATTCCAATATCCTAAACATACTCCTTTATTATAGGATGAGGCAATCACAACTACCATGGGCCAAACAGCAAGATGTCTGGCCACTCATTAGTTCCCTGAACTTTTGTGAAAGACAAGTAAATTCCCTCCCAGTTTTCAAAACACAGTTGAAACTGTATTCACCTATAGTTACACTTTAATCTGATAAAAYACTACAGTGTCACAAGAAGAACAGTCTTGCCCCTGCTCCTTTGTTCCTTGTTCCTCTGGTGCTCACACTGTCCTACAGTAAACTCGGTCTGGGAATGTACTGGCTGAAAGCCAAATTTCACAGGTCAATGACCCCACAGATGTCAGAACCAGCAAAGTCAGATCTGACCCTCAGATGAAACTGACACCACTTTAGAACTGTTGGGTTACTGCAACTTTATGCTGAAATGACACAATCTGGATCTCATGACCAGATCAAACCAACCCTTTTACAGTATAAAAATGTGACTTTGGGTGACCCCCACTCCAGATCACCCTGCCATCATCCTTACACCAACATTACCACAAGTCAAATACTTTTGCTAATCTGGCTGAAAATCAACCATAGAAACAAAGTAGACCCAGCTGGACCAGAAAGCAAAATTGACAGAAGTGCTACCACCCACAACAAAAACAAGGAAACAGCACTGGGATCCCCTTGTCAGTAGGGGCAATCTGATATCTGCTTCAGCCAGCTGGAGACCTGCACAGTGGCTGTGAGTGCCTCAGGGTGTGGGACACAGCAAGGGGACCAACTAAAGTATGACCACCAGGTCACTGACTTTTGTTAAAAACTGATGCAGTATCTGATTGACAACTGAAACTAAAGTGTATTTATTTGTGCAAAGTTAGATACAGCCTTCTTAAGTCTTTACTAGATCCAGTTTTCTGCTACTTCCACCTTCTATCACTCTTCACCTAAATTTTTTTTTAAAAAAAATCACTGTTTTTTTTAATGATGGTGAAAATATTTTCAAACGTGCATGTATATGATAATCAGACTAGTCAGACATTCAAAACACACACTGGGCCAATCTTTTCAATGACCAGGGGATACCATTAAAAAAAATTAAACCACACCTGCATGAAACACTATTTAGATTTTATAAATACCAAGTAACATGTATTTTGTCCACCCAGACATAACTAATCAAATACCAACATACTGTGAACTAGTCACAGGCAGTCAACAAGAAATGTGCCAGGGCTATTCAAGTATGAACAACCTCCGGATTATCAGGAAGAACACAATTTATTTTGTGTTATCTGCATGAAGAATAAATATTCTAATTCATGCTCAGATAAATGGTTTTCACCAGATGAAAAATACAATTAATTTCTTCATATGGTTGCTACAGTACTATCAGCATTTCTTATCAAGTTTGTCAAGGATACCCTAAATTAATCATACTGCAAAGGCACAGAGGAGCACCAGAGAACTGTAAATGGTGTTCACTGTCCCTCCCATGAAAATAGTAGTAAGTACTGCAAAAATCTCAACTACTGCTTCTCCCTTAAAAGCCTTGTCCTTTTGAATCTTCAGCTATTACTTCCAAGTTAACAAWCACTGCATACATTCCTCCAAACAAAACATAACTTTAGCCTGGTGTTGCACATAGTCAGATCAGCTTTGTTATTCTCAGATCTTTTAATAAATAACAAATCCAACAGCCCTAATTGCCTCAGGAATTCCATGAATTAAACTATTATACAGGCATCAATTAACAGAAGTTATAAATCTGAACTAATCTTTAAAGCATGCACTTACTATGCTGTGCATCAAAAACATTGCACAGCTAACCAGACTGGTATAAAAGAATTCTGAAATAACTACTGTTCACCATGACATTAAAAGGAAGGATAAGGGATTAAAAAGGAGCAGGAGGAAGGAGGAAATGGAAATGAAAACATAACACCTGATGCTCCACTGAAGCCCATGGAAACCTCTACTCACAGGAATTACCTCAGGTAATGTTTTGTATAGGGAGGGCTTCATCCTCTAGACACAAATACAGCTAATATTACACACATAAACAAGGATGTATCTTTCTACTGGATGATTATATAAAGGTAAGGAACTGGGTCTCAAATATGATATCCAGAGAAAGAAACTTACACATAAATGAAGAAAACAATAATATACAAAAATTTTCCTTTTCTCCCAACTCACTCGGACAGGCTATGAATAACATTGGAARTACTTGTTTGTATAAACTGTGACTCTGGAACCTCAAAATCTACTGATTACCAGCAGGATGTCTCAGAGAAAAGATCTGCCTAACAACTTACCCATCTGATAGTAGTCCTAGGCTAGAAAAGTTAGTTTGTCTCTCCATATTAACAGCATCTGCTGAGACAAAGTCAAAGAACATCTACAGGAGAGTTTAAAAGCAACCTATTGAGACAGTTTTGATGCCGAGGGCACTATCCCAACCCTCGAGACACAGGTTACACCCTGGGGCTGGGCTGCTYATTGTGTGTCCTTTCCAAGTCAAGGAAATGCCTCTGGCTACCAAGTTTATCAGGCTTTTAAAACTTCTGTATTTTAAATACTGAAAGTTAGCTGTAGACTATKACCTATCTTTGAATATGCAAACTACAAGCCAGACGGCCATGTATAAACAGTCTATGACTACATGTAATAAGCTGCAAAATTACAGTTGTGGACCAYGGAATATTAAATGCCCACAAACATAATGAAACACCTACTCATACATACTGGTGAGGAGAGGAGGAGCTCTGCACATTTCGATCAGGTCACAGAATCAATCAGGTTCGAAAAGACCTCTGAGATCATCGAGTCCAACCTATTACCAAACATGACAACTAGACCACGGCACTTAAGTGTCACATTCAACCTTTCCTTAAAGAAAGATGCACAAATGCTCTTCAATACAGAAAAAACTATACCAAAGGCAGAAGAGATTTTAGGTATTGGGGTCTCTCTGATATATATTGCACTTTTATTTTACCACAAGCCTGACCAGACTTTGACAAAAAAAAAAAACTAAACAGAAAAAAGAAAAAGTGCTACAGCGCAGAAAAACCCTCAAATTTAATAAGGTCATAACCTCTTAGTAAAGTAGTCTGAGCATCAGGAACCCTGGCTTGGCGATCCGTAACGGTACAAGCCATTCAAAGTGTTCCGGGTCACACCGACCCTGAGCTTCACCCGTGCCGGGGGCCGGTGCTGCACCCGAGCCGCGGCGCTGGCACAGCCCTATGGGGCACATCTTGGTGGAACGGTCCCCCTGGAGCTCCTCGGTGTCACCGCGGGACAGCGACAGCAGGAGCGGCGAGGGGCGGAGGGGCYCGGGACCCGCCAGAGGCACCGCGGGAAGGTCACCCCGCGCCAGCCCGGCCCGTCTCACAGGCAGCCGCTGGCCCCGGCTGCCCCCAGCGCCGAGGCCCGGGCAAATTCCGGCTCCTCCGGGCCGCCGAGCCAGGGAGCCCGCCAGGCAGCTCACGGCTGGCTGCGAACCCCTTACCTGAGCACCGCCCGGGCAGACAGGCTGAGCGGCCGCGCTGCGCTCCCGGCAGCACTGCCGCAGCCTGGCCTCGGCCCGGCTGCCGGCGAGGTGGAGGAAAAGAGCCAGCGGCGGGAGGAAGCGGCGGCGGCCCGGAGCAGCCGCGCCGGCCCCGGTGCGGCCATGGCAGCCATGTCGGCGGGACGGGCGGCTGGGGGAGGCGGCGGCACCGGGGCGGGGGCAAAGTCCCGCCGCTTACGCCTACGGCGCGAGCGGCAGCGATTCTCGCAGCCGTTTACGCAGCGCGCGGCCCACCCCCGGCAGCGTGACCGCGGGGTTACGCAAAGTGCGCGGTCGCGCGCGGAGGGGCGGGGCGCTACGGCAGCGGCGCGGGGCGGGGCGGGGCGGGTGCGGCGCGAGGGGCGGGCTCCGCGCTGCCCTGAGGCAGTTCCGCACCGCGCCGCCCTGCTGATCGCAGCCAAATCCTCTTCATCCTGAAAAGCGGCCTCACGGAGTCCAACATGGGCCCGCTCCCTGCCCTGCTGGGTCCTCGAGGGATTTCTTGTCACAGCAAGGACTCGGCGCTGACACGCGGTGGAGGCGTCACCCAAAGAAGCGTCACTACATCCCAAATGCCCCTTTGGGAGGCCTGGTCCCTAGGGGGAGTGGGCTCCAGGCTGGATGGGCGGTCTATGTGACCTGGAACCCCCTTGAAATAACTTATAATAATGTGGCTCTCCCAGGGAAGTGGAGCTGGCAGCGGGCGAGTCTGAGCCGTCCGCCTATGCTGTCCAGGCAGGACCAGAGAGAAATTCCCAGTTCCTCATTATAATTTCTTAAAACAGACGATCCAGMCTCTAAAACAAGGGCATCAGCAAATGGACACTAGTGCTGCTTTCAGAGGGTCTAGCCGGCCGTGAACATTCATGGTGAACGGCTCGAGTACCAGAATGTGCCACAGGAAATTTTGAAACTTCCGGAGCAATCACAGACTGCATGTGCAGGCTTTGCTAGTTTTGATCAGATGGTTATGTAGATACGCTTCATTCTACCACAACCAGACTGGAGAGTTCTWAGTGAATAAGGAAGAAATGTAGCATTTTCTTTGAAATAATTCTTTCAAATGGGAATGGAAATAAATGGGAAAAAAATGAGGAGGGAATGTTGTTTACCTCTGATACATTTGAGGTTAGTAAGATTATTCCCGATGCCTTATAATTTTGTTGCAACAGAATAAGATTGAATGGGTAGATAACATGATACTATGTAACTTGAACTGATGTGTTTTCTTTAAGGAGAAGAGTAGGTTCTGGTGGAAATTGTCAAGATCCTCCAAACTGTCCATAAACCAAGTGATCCATAAACCATGCTGATATAATTTTATTTGGGTTTCACTCTTCTGCAATACAAGAAAATGTGGCAGTGAATAATGCAGTTTCTTTCAATGCTGTCACTGCAGCTTGGGGTTACAAATGCATAATCTTATGGCAGTCCACAGCTAAATACATACTCTCCAGCTGGGTGTCTAACATTGTAAAGCCAAAAGAGCACATGCCATAATCCAGTTTGACTWCAACCAGAAGGTTGCTTGTTGTAAATTAATGGTTAATGCAGGAAATAAGTTTGAAAGGGACCCTCCGGACCTTCAAAGGTAAACCTTTGCTGTCACATTCAACTCAAGTAACTAAATAAAGAAGTATTTATCCATTTCTTAAAGTTTCCTGCTGGTATTAACTGCACTGAAGAACAGTCCCAAATTTTCATTCTTTGGAAGAGGAGAAAGCCTAGTTTTTTATAAATTTTCAAATAATTTCTTTTATTAGTCTAATATTGAGTATAGAAATATTTWTGTCAATTGTCCACACCAGGGCTGCTCACAAATTGAAATAGTTTTTGTTCTTTGTGACGTTCTCCTCCAGCCCTTTTATTTTAGCCCTGTTGTTACTAGTCACCATCTTTTATTTTAGCCACTGTTATCTCCTTCCCTAACACAGGAGACTCTCAGTGTTCTCCTGGTTATCCCACTGACCCATTTGTGCATATGTTAGCCTGAATTCCCCATTGTTAAACATGGGTGACTAGTTAATACATTCCCTTCAGTCTCACAGAGTGTCTCTAATAGAAATGTACGATCATGATAATCTAGGATTGTGTTTGATCTTTTTTTCATGTACAAATTAAATTCATTGCCTCAAATCAGTGAGCTTTAAATCAGAGTGATCAGTTAATAATCCAGCTGTCCTTTGTTGCTCCTCATTGATGAAGCCATCATTACCAGCAAGAGTCCTCGGTTTGCTCAAACTGAACAGAGTAAGGTCTTTGAACTTTGCTTCGGTCTACTTTCATGTGGGGTTTTCGTTCATGGGCCATTTTAACAAAAAAAGGCCAATTCCATTAACCTGCTTCCACTGTGTTGGATRTGTTCCATAGCTCTGTTCCAGCCCTCTGACTGCCATGGTCCYGAGCACGTTACCTCTTTGCAGAAGTTTAGTCGGCAGAGTCCAAGGTCAGTTTCTTCACTGATAAGAGCAGCTGTGAAAAAAGCTGGCAGTAAGGGCCTATGTTCCCCCTTTAAACCAAGGCTTTGCACCAGCTGTCCCCTGTGCCACAGTGCAGCCATGCAGCAGTTCTGTTTGGACCATCTCGCATCTCCACAAGCCTGGCCTKCATCCAGACTTGCTGACTTGGCAACCTGGCTTGGCCCTGGACCTGCCTTGCCACTGCAGCCCTGATGGGTGACCATATGGGCTGTGTCTGACCCTGACCACTGTCTCTCCACCTAATCTTGGCCCTGGGTTGCTGCTCCACATCCTGGCTCCTCGTTGATGAGGGGACTGCTTTCACCTGCCTTAGTATTTTGCTTAGTTTCTGGCAGAGATTTTGGCAGAGCAGCCAAATCTTGCTGCTCCCTGACATTCCCTACCCCTAAACACAGAGTCCTCCTAATTCCCCCATAATTTCTATATGAAGCACTATTTCAGGAGGGCGAGCTTGAAGAAAATAGTGTAGCAAATTAGGTCAGGACTTCTTGATGAAMTAAGAGTAGCAGAGTGAAATAAAAGAAAAACTACAAACCATGTATACCTATTTTCTCTCTGAATCTCACCTTGGTTGTATGCAAGATTGCTTATCTCTGTGGGATATTCATTCTAATGGTAAATACTTTGTAAGAGGTACTACATCTTTTCTTGTACCTTTGTGGTTTTCTTTTTTTATAGGTTCTTGCGCATTGCGCAATCCTTTTTTTTTTTTGTTGTAATTATATCCTCCAATTCTTTACTATTTTAAAGATTGTATTTATAGGACGCCAACAAACCACTAGATGGCAAACAGTTTCAACAAGAGAATTAACACATGGGTATTGGTATAACCTTCTGTCTTCAGCTTCATGATTCTTTTTCTGTCCGGCTTCATGAGTTTGACCAGGGAAATCTGGGTTGAAGCTGACACGGTCCTGCTTCTCCCTGCCTGTCCCTCTCTTGTGCTCTTCTAGGTTCCATGAGTCAGGTATGGGTAGGGATTCATATAGGTGATTTTTGCAAAAACTAACAAGAAAATGAAAGGAAAAAGAAGAACGGAAGCAGTTTCCAGGCATTTTACTTCGATCAAGCAGCCTGAAGACTCACTGTGCAGAACAAGATGTGTCCTGGGAGAAAAACAGTCCCAGCTTAGGTTGTTTTATGCTTCTGAKCAAAAATATTTTATGTTTTATGCTGCTGAGTACTACAAATTCTTATATTAAACATAGAATTCCAAGATTGAGTATGATAGAAAACATTAAATATGTGAATCATTATCATCAGATAATTTCTGTAAATTACTACAGATGGTCTCTCTGAGTCCTCATATTCTATGTAAAAGAAACATGGTGTAACTGTATATTCAAAAAGTAGAAATCCAGCTCTATTTTTTTAGAGATTTTGAAAATGAAAAATAGCTGCCAAGTAATCAGACTTCTATATACCATTAGCTCTTTTGGTCACTATTAAGTTCTCTCTGAACATGTGTTTTAATCAGGATTTTCTTGGAAGTAAAATTGTGTCAAATTATCCCTTTCAGCTGAAAATATTGAAGGAGATCCAGAGAAAAGAAAGAATCCACCCAGTCAGAAACCAGTGGAATTTCCATCTGTAGCTGAGTGAGTGGGACACAGTCTTATTATCCTCAGCCCAGGAGCATAGGATTTAAGAGCAGTGAAGTCTGAAGTAATAACCGTGCTTGCAAAAAGACAGGAATGTGAAGGAGAGGTCATCAACCAATGAAAGATTAATGGACAGGCAATGGGCAGGGTGGTTGTTTTTCTTTTGGGAATTAATGTAGTTTGTAACCGTTTCTGTCAAAGGCAGGTAATCCAAGTATCATGAAAATATCTCTAGGTACCAAGTTKTTCTGTAGTTAAAGGGAGACCTGGGAATTCTGGCACTTGGTTGGTGAGGATGCAGTAACTATTAGAAGGGTAGGAGCATGTCTTGTTTGCAATTGCTCTATCTTTGCTAGTTTCTCTATAGCACCTGAAATACAGCTGGAAACAGACAAATATTCGGAGTTTTGTCATTCAAATAGGTGGCACTCTAGGAATAAGCCAGAGATCCTGGTGTTTGTTATCCACATAGAGCAGAAAGCTGAGGAGGTGGGCCTATCATATGACAGGAAGGTGAATCACTGCCAAGAAATTCTGCTAAACTGTAGATAATGCATTGCTTCAAAGCCATGGTTCTGTCATACATAATAGACTGTGAAATCTGTGTGAGAATTTGCATATTTGAGTAGGGCATTTTAAAGTTAGTTGYCTGAAAGTCTTGTTACTCTCTAATAGAAGATGTGTGAGTTTTTCCACAGGAAGACTTTTACTCTTTTGCATTTCTGAAATTCTTCAACTTCATGTTGTGCATAACATTTTGTGGCAACTGGTCCTTCCTATGATRAGCTAAAAAAGTAAAGAGACAGTGTAATACGAATTTTTCAAAACAAAGCAGAATTTGTCAGCACTGAAKTAGAGCCAGGATTTCATTGTAATTATTTGTGTCCATCAATACAGGACCTTGAAGTGTGTTCAAAATGCAACCGTACAATGTAATGGAAGGGAAAACTGCCATGAAATACAAAAGCACCGTGTCCAGCTCATGTCTGAAATCCTTCTGAAATCCTATGTTGTGGGAAGATGGGAAGGTATTCTGGGGCAGCCAATGCTYGCTTCAGTCTTAGATTCTTTCCCAAGTGTCAACTTTTGCAGTTGCAGAAGACAAAATATGGGGCTTGAGAGACCTTTGGAATAACATAAAACAGGCTCTTCTTTGGTCTGATGCTTTCCTAATTGTCATA